TTTCATAGCATGCTTTTAAAATTGCAGCTACTTCTTATTGTTTGAAATTCAGATTTGGATGTTTCATCTGTGACCCGTTCCTATTAGTTCTAAACTGAAAAGTGCATGAGAATGAGTTCTCTTGCTATGAAGAAAAGAGGCAATTGCTCCCTTTGACACACTGGAGTGCTCTAGGTGACTGGAGGCTTTGCAGAGGTGTCAGGGCTGTTCTCCAGGACATGAAGTAGCCTCGTAGGGCATTTCTCACCACAAGAACATTTTTTTAGGGATTGATCAGCTGTGTGGGCATAAAATACAGGACTGGTTGCTCATACCTTTAGCTCTCTGGTGCCACCTGGCGGTTAGAGGCATTTTGGGATATGTAAGAGAGCAACTCACCACTCTTGGGGGATACCTAGAGGAGTGGTGCTCATAAGTACCACAGTTCCACCCAAACACATTCCAGGCCTTGGTCATTTTTGAGAAGTTCGCAAATCATGGGAAATCAAGCTTCAAAATCTGAGCGGTCTTTTTTTTTTTTTGAGATAGAATCTCACTCTGTCATCTTGGTTCACTGCAACCTCCAACTCCCTGGTTCAAATGATTCTCCTGCCTCAGCCTCCCGAGTAGCTGGGATTACAGGCACGCGCCACCACACCCAGCTAGTTTTTGTATTTTTGGTAGAGAGGGGGTTTCACCATGTTGGCCAGGATGGCCTCGATCTCCTGACATCGTGATCGGGCCGCCTCGACCTCCCTAAGTGCTGGGATTACAGGCGTGAGCCACCGTGCCTGCCACCTGAGTGCTCCTTTTTTTTTTTTTTTTTTTTTTAAGTTTCTCAATTCTGAGTTCTACCTTGATTGCACTGTGCTGAGCGCTCTTTTAAGGGACAACCACTGTTAGAAACACAATCTTGTTTTATGTACGACACTTAGGAGACATCTTCTTGTAAATATCTAGGAAAAAGGACCCACACAGCCCGGGATGATCATCAACAATGGCCAAAATGTGAGTCTTTTGAAATGCCCGAAATTATTCCTTTGTGTGCACAATAGAAAAAAGCTGGTTTTAGAACCAAATGAAATAGGATAATTACTTCCAATGGCACTTAGAGTTTTTAAAGATAAATTCTGAGAAAATTGCCTCAATCCGAGGTAAACAAAAAGATCCTAGATCTATTTCTGAATTAAAAAAGACTTTGAAGGCGTCCTCTTGTCCACTTCCAGCTGTTTCACCTCATCCACCCTGCACCTTTACATCCTCTCTTATCCCAAGTCCCCTGTCCTGACCTTCCTTCCCTCTCACTACCGCCGTAGGAAATTCCCTAGAACTTGAACCCCCGTCCCTGAAACCCCATTTTGGCAGCTCCTTTCTAGATAAAACCACAGCAAGAGGTGAGGCCACTATTGTGTATACCCCTTGGACAAAAACTGAACTTAAGAATAGTATGAAAAGACTTGCCTGACCTGCTCCAAGATCCCATAGGGTTTGCAGAACTGTCTGATTTAATTGTCCAGATTTATGAGCCCAGATATTCTGATCTTTGTCAATTAGTTCACAGGCTGGTATGAGAAGGCAGGGCCAGTGAATGGCTAAAAAAAGCAATCTGGAAAAATCCCTTAGAGGATTTTGAAAAGCAAACGGAAGCTGACCATGAAAGGATCCACACTTCAGCCAAGTCTCTCCGTGATGTTGTTTCTAGATCTTTCCTGCAATGTAGACCGGAAGATCATTCAACAATATACTCAAAGGCCCGATGAATTTGTGCTTGATTATTTTGAACAGTTCAGAAAAATCCTTTTAACAATATTCTGGAATTGAATGCCTCATACTAGCCTCCAAGATCATCTATGATTGTGCTGCTGCACTCTGGCCTGGGTAACAGAGCCCTGTCTCCAAAAAAAAAAAAAAAAAAAGCCAACGTACCTCTGACCTCTTGGAAGCAGTCCCCACCCCAAACTGAAATGTGAAAATTCCTGGTCATTCCAAATTAGATACTCCAGAGAGCAGTGACAACCATTTCGCTGATAATGCAGCTAAGAACGCAGCCCTGAAGGTTACATCAGACAATAGATATCTTGAAATGTGCTTACAAGCTTATTACCCATTTAAAACTTTGGCCAGGCGAGGTGGCTCACATCTGTAATCCCAGCTACTCAGGAGGCTGAGGCACAAGAATCACTTGAACTTAGGAGGCGGAGGTTGCAGTGAGCTGAGATTGTGCCACTGCACGCCAGCCTGAGTGGCAAAGTGAGACCCTGTCTCAAAAACCAACCAAACAAACAAACAACAAAACCCCCCAGACCCCCCAAACAAACAATAAACAACAACTTTATTAGAAGAAGCACAAACAGGAGCTCTCAAGAAGGAAGTCAACCCCAGGAAAGATAAAAAACCAAGTTTTCTTAGAAACAGGCTTATGATGTGGACCTAATGATAGACCAATCCTTCCCTTACGCCTTCAATTACCCTTTAAATAATGTGTTTATGAGCTGACTCATTGGAATCCAGATGAAACAACAGCTTGGGGAAAGCAACATTATTGGCAACCATCCCCTTCTGTTTATTCTTGCTGTATGGTTTGTCCCAAACATAATCCTGGAAAACTCCTTCAGGGGTTACAGGGACATTTTCTTTTGCCTTTAGGACCCTTTGATGTATGGCAATTGGACTTTTCTCAGCTGCCCCTATCCCAGGGTTATAGATATGTTCTGGTGCTAACTTGTGTTTTCTCACTGCGGTGAAACGTTCCCAAGCCAATGAGCCATGGCCCAAGCAGTAAGAAAACTGTTATTGGAAAAGATAATTTCATCATGGGGAGTTTCATCTGAGCTCCAGAAGAGTCAAGGAACACATTTTGCTGGTCAAGTAATTCAATCCATTTGCAGCATTTGGCCTATATTCCAATATTTCCATTGTGCTTTTAACTCCAAATCCTCTGGACTGGTGAAACACACCAACAGTATAATAAAAACTCACTTGGCCAAACTAACCGAAGTTTTTAACTTTCCCTGGCCAAAGGCGCTCTCACTAGGTCTGCTCAACCTCTGATCAACACCATTTGGAAAACGCCAGCTCTCTCTCTTTGAAATAATAATAGGAAGGCCCACTTGACTAGATGCAGGAACTTGGGAATTTTCATTTCTTAAAGGTGATATCCTCTATTACTGCCAAGGTCTCAGAATACTCATTAAAAACAAAATCAATCAAGAATTCCTTTTGCAGAGAGCTCCTGGGAGATGAAGTCATCAAAAATCATGGCCTGTCACTGGAGATTTTTTTTTTCTTTCTTAAGGTCTCTGCTGTCTAATATTTCACAGGCTAGTGAAGTAGTTTTGGCATTCCAAGCATTTTTGCCCTTTGTGAATTTCCCACTTGAGTGATTTGCAACTATTCCTTTTCTTTTTTTAAAAAAAAATCTTATTTTAGATTTAGGGTACAACATGCAGCTTTGTCATAAGGGCCTATTGTATGATGCTGAAGTTTGGGGTGTGATTGAACACATCATCCAGATAGTGAGCATAGTACCCAAGAGTTAGTTTCTTAACCCTTGCCTCCCTCCCTTCCTTTTCCTTCCTAGTTCCCAGTGTCTTGTTTCCATATTTATGTTCATGTGTACCCAATGTTTAGATCCTACTTATAAGTGAGAATATGTAAACATTTCGTTTACTGGAAAGGACGTCAAATAAAAGATCCCTTCGCACCTGGTGGGAAGGGACCATATCAGGTACTATTGGCCAATCCCTGTGCCACTAAACTTAAAGACATTGAGTCATGGATTTATATTTCTTGTTTTAAAAAGACAACCCTACCAGAGGGACATGTTCTGTCACAGGAGATCTTCAGTGGAAGCTGACTTGCAGCCTTCCTGACCAGGGTGGAAAGCAGATCTTCAGTGGAAGCTGACTTGCAGCCTTCCTGACCAGGGTGGAAAGCAGCTGACATTTGCGGTTGTTTGTTTTCACCCAAGATACCAGACCAGGCCTGTACAACTTGTTCTTCGTAATTCTAATGCCAGCCACACCTGAAATATTTGCTCTCCTTTTTCTATTGACTGGAATACCTATGCTTTTAGGCCTCCTTCATATGTGGGTATCCTCTCTTGGATAAAATTGTTTTGGTAAAATTGTCATATATATATGTATGTGTGCGCATATATATGCACACACATACACACACACACACATTCTCTTAGGACATATGTAAACAAATGTTTGTAATCAGATTCCTGGGTTTTTGTTGTTGTTGCTGTTGTTTTGCTTTTTTTAGAGATGGGGTTTTGCTCTGTTGACCATGCTGGAATGTAGTGACATGATCATAATTCACTGCAGCCTCCAACTCCTGGGCTCAGGCAATCCTCCCAACTCAGTTTCCCGAGTAGCTGGGATGACAGGTGTGCACCACAACGCCCAGCTAATCAAAAAACAAAATCTGTAGAGATGGGTCTTGCTGTGTTGACCACACCGGTCTCAAACTCCTGGCCTTAAGTAATTCTCCCACCTCGGCTCTCAAAGTGCTGGGATTATAGGCATTAGCCACGGCACCTGGCCTAGGTTTCTGTTTTGCCATCCCTGATAGATTTGACCATACCATGGAGGAATAATCCTCTGTTCAAAATCTCCCAGACCACTGCCACTGCTGGAAATTTGAAGAGATGCTGGGTTTTCTACCCTAAAACAAAAACGACCCACTGGTATCTTCTGTCCTAAATTTCACCAGTATTCATTATAGCCCTTGTAACACAACTCAAGGCCACATAAAAGGAAACCTGTTTATCAGATCTGCCTGACTCATCTTAACCTGTTTGTCCTGTGTTTCAGTCTAACTCATCAGAATCCTGTTGTCAAAATCGTTGCTCCCTTACTCAATAATCATAGTACGAAAATCCAGGATGTTGTTAGAAAATCCAAAGGAAAACAGTCCCTCTCGCTGTCAGGATCCTGTCTTCTGGCTCTAACATTTCTGACCCATTGATTTAGTAATGCCCCAAAACTGACGTTCTCAAATTATAGTGTACTTACCTGTGCTCCACCAGAATTTATTTTAGCCTGTGGAGAAGATCACCATCCATGGTCCTGTAAGTGTTTAAGGGTATGGAGTGATGAAGGGCTATGTTTCTTAGGATATTTTGTTACCCTTCTCTCTCCATGCAGCTCTGAAGAAACTCAGCATTGGACTAGTTCCCTCAAATTTTTCTCTAGGCATGACTGCAGGTCTACTTTAGATGCAGATTCTATTTAAAGAGAGAGTGCTAATTATCTGCTGCCATCAAGAAGATAGCACCATGCATTTTTTTTTTTTTTTTTTGAGAACTCTTTTGCCTTGGTTGGGTGTAACTTCCTGTGAACACGTGATCTAAAATCTTTCTAAAACCCTAGGAGACATTGCTGATGAAACTGCTCCCTCCATCACAGCTCAACAAAAAGCTACAGATTTATTGACTAAGGTTGTGCTAGACAATCACATTGCTTTAGATTCTATCTTAGCTGAGCAAGGAGGTGGATATGCGGTGGAAAACACCTCTTGTTGTGTATATATAAGTGTTTCCCATGAAGCAGAAACTCACCTAGGAAAAAAATCAAAGAAGAAGCTGCTTGGCTACAGGTCTCTAAAGAAGAACTGGGATTTAATTTTCTTCATGATGTTTTTAGTAGACTCTTAACAATAGCTTCCTTTTTCATTCTGGCATACAAATTCTCTTTTTGACTATAATCCTATGTGCATTATATATTTCTACTATTCAAATTAATGCTAGATATTTTTCATTATTTTATTTCTTCTGAGAAAATGAAAATCATGGTATTTTAAGGACTGGAGATGATGGAGCAAGCGACAGCAGCTATGTAAGTCAGTGCTTTGAGTGAGAACTCATTTTTGCCACTCTGTAATGTCATCCTGATTCAGCTTTTTGGTGCTCTTAAAATTCCTCACTGAGATGTCTCCACTCTCCTATGCGGGACAGGCCAGGAATGAGCCTGGGGAGTACTCATCCAGCTTTTGTTGTATGCAGGCTTTTGCGGCCAGGGGGCAGCAAAGCTGGCTCCAGTCTTTATTCCTAACCAGCCTCTGGAATGCCTCTGATGCTTTTGATCTTATCATGACAATTGTTCTGCAGCCTGTATTGTGGTCCAAGTATTACTTTTTCTCCATTTAAAACACTTTGAATTTGTGCTCCATCCTGTCTGCCCTTCCCTGTCACAGCAAATTTCTTGAAAGAATAGGCCACACTCACTCTCCTTCCAGCAGCAAGCCTGCCATCAGTTTTCACTCCCAGGGTCAGGAGCCTGGCCTTGGCCTGCCTCACTGATCTGCCAGAGGGCGGCTGTCATTCTCCTCCATCCTCCCATACCCACCCATCCTGCACATGCTGGTCTGGAGGATCCAGTGTCTTGTCATGTTGCTCCTGCCTGAGGTCCCCAGTGGCTCCCTGGAATGTACGGCAGTGTTTCTGAAATTGGGATTGTATTCTGTGCAGCCCTCATCTGGGAGAATTTTTAATTGTCTGTTGTCATTTGATAACTTTAAAAATACGGTATTTTATGAGCACGTTCTTGTTGTCTAAATGGCCACGTCTGCCCCCTGCTTCCCGTGCTCACACTTCAGCTTGAGATCTTTTTGGAACCAAATGATCACTCAAAGAAATAGCTTTTCATTTTCGAAAGTACTGGTAGGTGAGTCTGGCTTGTATTACTTAGGCATGTCCTAATATCAAAATGACAACACTTATCGTGAACCATACTTACATGACAACTATTACAATAATATTTACAACTTTTGAGTGTTTACTGTAGGCACTGCATGGTACATGCCTTATCTCACTTGACCTTCACACAGCTCTGTGAGATACGTATTGCAAATATCATCTTTGTTTCAGTTATATATGGCTATCTATAGAACCACTCAAAACTTAGTGACTTAAAACAATGCATTATTTCTCACGATCCTTTGGTCTGGAATTTCAGGTGAGGCTCACCTAGGTAGTTCTGTCCATTACTCCTGTGGCTGGGCTCAGCTAGAAGATTCAGGAAGAATTCAGTCATGTCTAGTGCTTCAGATTCCTCCATGTGGACTTCTTTTTCTTCGTGTGGTTTTTCATCATTTGGTTGTCCAACCCAAGCTTCACAGTAGGCAGCTGGCTTCCTAGAGGCCAACAGTATCCTTCTGCCACAGTGTATTGGTCTAAGTAAATCACAAGGTAACCCTTAACCCTAGATTCAAAGAAAGGAAAGTGAACTCCAGATCTTGATGGAATACAGCAAGCATGCATGTAGAGGGATGGGAGGAACTGTTGATGGCCAAGTGTCCATTGAACAGATGAGGAAACTGTGTCTATTATCCCAGCCAACAAGAGGCAGAGTGAGGACTCGAACCCAGGCTGTTGGACTCTGTGGCCTATGCCTTAAGCTATCATGTCATGTTCTACTTTCATTGTATCCCCTAGGCCTCACTAGGTCTCAGCTATAAAGACAGAACTCTGCCATATGATACTTTACAACCCAAAGGCACATTTCAGAGAAACTGATGTCATGAAAACCACAGGGTTTGGGAGAAGCCCAGTGATTTCATGGCTTCTTCTCTCACACTCCCTCCTCTCCCCGTCACACTCTAGCCAAACTGACCCCTTTGCACCCCCAAATATGCCCGTGCTTTCCAGTGTTTTGCTCATTTAATCCATTGGTCTCTCATGTGTTTTCCTGTTTTGTCCACTAGAGAGAGGTCTTCTCTTGTTAAAGACAATTCCTCCTCCTCCTTCACAGGTGACGTACACAACTCTGACAGCCATTGCGCTGTGGAAATGTGGTTGGTCTAAATTGGGATGGGCTTACATACAAACCGTATGCCAGATATTGAAGATTTAGTACGATAAAGAAAACGTGAAACATCTTATTAATACACGTAATCGATTGATTACATGTTGAAATATTTTAGATATATTCAATAAATAAAAGATAATATTAAAATTAATTTCACCTATTTTTTACTGACTTGGTCGTACTCTGTCACCCAGGCTAGAGTGCAGTGGCATGATCATGGCTCACTGCAGCCTCAGACTCCTGAGCTCTGGCAATCCTCCCGCCTCACCCTCCTCAGTAGCTTGGACTCCAGACACCCACCATCACACCTAGCTAATTACCTATTTATTTTTAGATTTTAAAAAATTTAGCTACCAATTTTTTTTTTTTTTTTTTTGAGTGTCTCACTCTGTTGCATAGGCTGGAGTGCAATGGTGCGATCTGGGCTCACTGCAACCTCTGCCTCCCAGGTTCAAGTGATTCTCCTGCCTCAGCCTCCTGAGTAGCTGGGATTACAGGCACGCACCACCATGCCTGGCTAATTTTTGTATTGTTATTAGAGATGGGGTTTCACCATGTTGGGCAGGCTGGTCTCAAACTCCTTACCTCATGATCTGCCTGCCTCGGCCTCCCAAAGTGCTGGGATTATAGGCATGAGCCACTAACGCTCGGCCTAGCTACCAAAAATTTAAAATTGTATATGTGACTTACTTTATATTTCTATTGGACAGCACTGGTTTAAAGGCTGCCTTCTCATGGCAAACGCCAATGTAGCTCTGAAGAACCCCAAGGCTCCAAGAAACCCAAGTTAAAAACCATTAGCTTGATTTGACTCATGAGAAAACTGAGGCTTGAATTGGCCAACAGCTTGTCCATGGCTATCCAAGTGGTAGAATCTTGAGTTGATATGAAAACCTGGGTGTCCTATGCCTTGTTTGTTTTTTTTCTCTCCTATCCTGGAGGTCCTTGGATACCACACGAGGATGTAGTCACAAGTCACTCTGCTGGGCCTTTGAGGCCGTCCATCAGACGGTTTCACCATCTCAAGTCTCTCTTGACTGGAGACCCTGGGGACAGGCAGTGACTGCTCAGCCCTTCTTGCCCTCTTGTCTTTTTTTTTGAGACGGAGTTTCATTCTTGTCGTCCAGGCTGGAGTGCAGCGGTACAATCTTGGCTCACTGCAACCTCTGCCTCCCAGGTTCAAGCAATTCTCCTGTCTCAGCCTCCTGAATAGCTGGGATTACAGGCACTCACCAGCACGCCCTGCTAATTTTTTTGTATTTTGTTTTTTTAGTAGACACGGGGTTTTGCCATGCTGGCCAGGCTGGTCTTGAACTCTCGACCTCAGGTGATCCACCTGCCTCAGTCTCCCAAAGTGTTGGGATTACAAGCGTGAGCTACCATGCCTGGTGGCCCTTTTGTTTTAAACTACCCTTTTGACTTGCCCAATCCCAGTCCCGCCCACAGGACCCTAGTAACTCTTGCTGGAATAAGTCGAATCTAGTTGGAAGGATGAGAAAACAGAGCCACCTGGGCCTTGTCACTCACTGACCCCATGATCACAACACTCAGTTCACTGTTGAGTGCTCACATAGCTCAGGCCCCTCTTGTGCATGGGTGACTGATGTCCACATGGCCAGTGACTCACATGGGAACTGAAAGCTCCCTTCAGTGGGCAACTTCTCTAAAGTAGCCCCATGAATCAGCAGTGTGGGTGCTGGACAGCAAAGGCCAACCCTGACTTGCAGTCAGTCAGTCAGTCAGGCACAAGCCCCCGCATCACAGGCTTCCAACACAGCCCAGAGGAGTTGCAGCTCTGTGGGCCAGCCGTAGTTCCACATGTGGCATGAGTGGAGGCCCACGACGCATGTGCATGGATGGGCCTGAGACGAGGCCTCCATGGATTGTTTCTCTGTGACAGAGACCCCAAGCAAGTGGGAGACAAGGGTCTCCTCCCTGTCTCTGACCCTGTGTTCCCTGTCGGAGGAGCTGTGCTGGCTCAGACCCTGAGTGTGGCAGGGTTGCTTGGGCAATCACTGCCCCGTGCCTGCAGTCTCATCTCTCCTGAAGCCAAATCAGAGAACTGCAGACTCATGGGGCTCTGAGGGAACCCGTGCTGTGTGGATCACCAGTCACAAGGTGAAGGCTCTCTTCCCATTTCTTCTGCAGCTCTAGCTGTGTGGCTTTGGGCTAGTCACTGTATGTCTCCGAGACTCGACTTACCATTTATATAATAGGTATATTAATGTTAGTTATACTCTGCTATGTAAAAAAATCAAGACTTCGTGGCTTAACCAAACATTTCTTATCTCATACACTTTCTGTGGGTCAGGAATTTGGGGGTGACTATTCAGGGTGGTTTCAGCTCAGGGTCTCTTATGTACAGTGTTCTTTTAACATGGTACCCGGCTAGCTCAATCTAAGACGGCAAGACAGAAGTCACACTGTCTTTTGTGAACTGGCCTTTGAAGTCAAGTCCTGTC